GCAACTCCATTCAAACTCTCCTTGGTAACCCTAAGGATAAAATTCCATTCTTAGAAAAGTCGGGGATATATGAAATTAGTTGTAATGACTGTAGTAAAAAATATATTGGACAAACTAGACGTTCAATCAAAACCAGATTTAAAGAACATCTAGCTCATGCTAGGTTTGGTAGAGAAGAAAAATCTAGTGTTGCCCAACATATTCTTACTGATGGACATAATATTAATATTAATAACCTTAAGTTAGTTAAAGAAGTTAGGAATAATCGTTTACTAAACAGTTTTGAAAGTTTATACATTTATAAAAATAAACAAATTGTTCTTAACAATGACAACGGTCCCATCCCTGGATCTCCGCTATTTAGTTTAGTTTAATTACGTTTATGATGATGATGTTAAGGTCCATTGAACATCTACCTTGTTGGCTTCGGGTCATGTTCACTGAACCTTAACAACTATCAGTATAAATTAGGATTAGTTCTCATTTAGGTTTAGTTTACTTCAGTCCCTGAAGAAGGTAACTTTGTTACCGAAAAGTGCTTCGGACAACTACAGTGTCGTGATTTGGCGTTGGGGTTTTGAGCTATTCTGTTTGTTCTACAACAACCTGATTTATTGATAATATTAGGATATACTTACATAGTTTCAGACATTATCTCATCGATCTCACATTTGCTTCTAATGTTATTTAGGCTTAGCCCCAGTTGCAGGAATGTGCACACCAACAAGTAGTTGCACCGTAAACGAAGGAAGACATTTCGAAAGCGTTTATGTAGTAGCCCATGAAATTGGACATAAGTAAGTTCACTTTCCATCTATTTTTTTATTTTATTTTAATTGATTTTCTGTTTGTTTGAATATTTCAGTCTCGGTATGAGACACGACGGGCCGCTGGCTGATAATAATTGTGACCCTACGAGTTATATTATGTCGCCAACGCTTGGAAGTGGCAAAATAACTTGGTCACCCTGTAGTAAAAAATACTTGCAAACATTTTTAGAGTAAGTAAGTATAAGGATAATTTATTAAGTTTTAAGTTGGATTAAATACTTATTGACATTTCGAAAAATAAAAGAAAGACGTGTCTAACTAGGTGATTTTCACTCACGATTTTCCTCAGTACGTACATCCCTGTATGTCCAATCTTGTAGTTGAAATTTTTCGGTGTTTTTGATTTTTCTTAATATATAGACACATGTAGCTTTTATCTGATAACACTCATGATCAGATGTATATATTCGATACCCGTGAAATGCCCGGCACTCTTTCTTAATCAACCAAATAGAATGCCAAAATCTTTAACTTGATATATCCCATGTAGGAAATCCCGGCAGACCCAAACCTAGACCAGCAGTGGGAAGCCAAGCATATGCTTCTCCATATTGGTCTAAAGTTCGGGCAATTCTCAAATGCCAATACTAAGTTTACTAACGTTTCGCTAAGTTTGGTCCAATACTGGACAATCAAGCATGGGTTTATCAATACTGGATCAATGTTTCGGCAATATATATCCAATACTAGGCAACGAAGTATTGGCCAAGATGGAAAGAGACACAGTTGCCCAATCTTGGATTAATTTTGATCTCCATGTCTTGACCCAATGTGGAGCTAATATTGTTTTTATCAAATCCTGATCCAATATTGGCTCTCCAATCTTTGGCCAGTATTGTTCACCAAGTCTTGGTTCGGCATTGGCTGTCCAGTCGTGGACCAAGTTTGCCAATCAGGCTTGGGCCGAAGTGACAAACCAGGCATTTTTCATACTTGGTCCAATATTGACTGTTTATCTCGGACCATAATTGAACAATCTTGCGCCAAGCATGGTCTTGTCGTGATTTCCTATATGGGATGGTGCATGTAGGTACCTGTAACCTACGCAAACACTAATTCCAATTGCCATGTTCTTTTTTTAACTCAGACGCATTTTAGCACTCCTCAATCAAAATGTCTCCTTGATCACGGTAATTCTGCTGGACAACTGGATCATGAAGCCGAAGGTAATTTACCGGGTGAAAGATTCAATGCCGATCAGCAGTGTAAGTTACAGCCAGAATAAAATTATGAATTTATAAATATTGTCTAAATATTAACGTAATAGGTATAATATTATGCTCTGATCGATGACAGGTAGATTAAAGTATGGGAAAGATAGCAAACACTCGCCTCATCAACCATTAGAAGACATATGTCGAGATCTACATTGCGATAGAGAAAAATATACGTGGACTTCACATCCAGCACTCGAAGGAACGAAATGTGGTCATAGCATGGTATGTTCAAAATCATTTACAAGTAGATGTATAAGTATATAATTTAAAAATATCGAGATACATTTTCAGTTGTTTGCAAAATTATTAAAATTATAAATTGATTTTTTTACTTGTTACTTAAACAGGAATAGAAATACAGTGTAAACTCTTTATAACGTCACTCGGTTTAACGACAAACTCCTTAAAACGTCGAAATTGCTTGACTTTGGTTGGTTTACAGTGTTTTCTAAACAATATTACACTCTATATAGCGTCGCGCTCACTCTATTTAACGACAACAATGCGGCATTATAAATCATTGAGCAGTACTTTCTAAGCTGTCGAAATAGATAAGAACTGCAGCTGTGTACGTTGTTGAAGAAGACGATCCTGTCCCTTCACCAAGCATCAAACAAGCACTTGATGCAGCGAAACTATTAAAAAAATACTTTTTATATAATCAAATTGATCCAGCAGTATCTCAAGATATGAGTAAGATACGTAACAAAATACAATTAAAATATTGGAG